ATAATACATAAAGATCTTCCTTTTTATTCTGTGGTTCCAGGTGCTTGTTCGAACTAATCGAACTAATGCCAAAATAAAATATCTTTCATGACAGATAGAAGAAGAAGAAGATTTTATATACAAGATTAATTGTGAGTAATAAATAACCGATCTAAATAGATTAATCAACCAGCGTGAGCAGAATGACAGAAGCTCATATAAACAGCTTCACTCATGAATATAAAACAAAAAAAAAAAGTAAATTATTACATAAGAAAGCTTACAGAGAGATTTATTAACTCAAGTGCTGCAGCTACAGCGAGAGGGAGGAGGGAGAAAGTAGGCGAGGTTTAAAGGTGGCGAACAAAGATCGTCTCACTCCATGGGATTTGTGTGTACTGAGAATGGTGCAAGAGAAGGAAAACTATGGATAATCTGGGAGGTAGGTGAAAATATGGCTTTTTTTGTTTTTTTTTTCCTGTATGACAGAAAATAAAAAAAGAAATCTTTAAAAATCTTTCTGCATTGTATCCTTAAAGAACCTTGCAGTACGAAGCAAGCTTTAATTTTCCATCTTCCTGTCAGTTGGCCTCTAATACGGCAAATATGGGTATTAAAAAACAAATATTTATATAATTACACATGAATAAGTAAAAGAATTTATAGTTTTATTGCCTATTTGTCTACTTAAAAAATTTAAATAATTAATAATGTAAGAAAGCTTATTGGAGGGAGGTGGAAAAAATTGTGGCTCTATTTATTTATGTATTTATTTTTTCCTGCGTTAAAAAGAACAAATCTTTGAAAATCATTGTGCAGTGTAGTACGAAGCAATCTTTATTTTCATTTTTCCTGTCACTTGGCCTCTAATGTGTTTGAGAAAATAAATAAATATATTTACATAATATGAAGTAAAAGAATTTGTATTCATTCTATGTATTGATAAAAGCACCAATCAATCTTTTTAAGAACACCAAAATGTTGTGCAGTAGAGACAAGAGGAGCACANTCTTGTAATTCCAGCTGTATTTTATTTTTGATTTAATGCTAACTTTCCTTTTTGTTGGTCATACTCATAAATAAATTTTCCCTTTCTGCGTAATGTACAGTACGTACTCTTTCCCCTCGAGTTAAAGAAACATTTGCAGATGACCCTTTTGCTTTACATGTTGATGTATATGCTGAAATGTTTACTCAATTTTTCACTTAACTCTAAATAATCGTCCTACTTGTTAAGTGTTATCATGATTTATGAGTTATTGAAATTAAAGAACTAATTTTAAGAATATAAATTGATTGAATTAATTAAAATTGCAATAAATTGTAAACTCATTGTTAGTGTTACTCTTGAACCTAAAAGGTCACAAATGATGACAAATTAAAAATTGGTAATTTTACAATCGTTGAATTAATTGACAACACTTAATTAAATAATTTAATTATTTAATTGAATCTGATATTAATTAGATATAAAGAAAAGAATAAAGTAAATTAATCAATTGAATTGAATAATTGAACTTTTGATATTAAAATTACAATAAGTTGTAAACCCACTGCTAGTGTTAATCTTGAACCTAAAGGGTCACAAATGATGACNAAATTTAAAATTGGTATTTTACAATAGTTGGATAATTGACAACATTTAATTAAATAATTTAATTATTTAATTGAATCTACTATTAATTAGATATCAAATAAACGAATAAAGCAAATTAATCAATTGAATTGGTTAATTGAACTTTTGATATTAATTAGGTAATTATTTGAATTGCATAATTATTAGTTGAATTCAAAAGTTGGACTTTAAAATTAAAATTCACACTTTAACATGCTTGTTTAATCTAGAAACACATAAAGAGAGGGGATTTACATTTGACTAGAGATAAGTAAAGAAGATAAGATTTTGACAAATTTTTGGAAAATTAATTTCATAAGCTACTGGATCATTTCTTTAAGGGCTATACATAGATAAATTCTCAATTTTAAGTTCATTTTCTCAATCAGGTTCTAGAGAAATTTTTTTCCATTCAATTCCCTAGTCAATTAATAAATGGTCCCCTCTAAGGTTAAAATTACATTTCTCCTGGTACCTATTTGCTAAAG